GTGGCTAAGCTATTGGATAAGGAATTCTGGGCTCTACCTCCAGCACAGCCATGGGCTTGCTGCAAGATCTGAGCACCTCCTTTCAGTTCCCTGTATCTTCCCTCTCCCCAGATATCTGGTTCCTTTATTTTGCTTGAAAATTCATCTAGGCATAGGCTGTTCTAAATGAGGTTGGGGACAGGACAGGTCAGTACAATTGCAGGCTTGGATGTGGGTTTTAGGTATGCTTGCAATATAAATAATAATGATCTAAAACCCATCTGTGCAAACGTAATGTTTTGAAGGAAGGAGTTTCACACCACGAGTGTAGGACTGGGGACCTGTAGGTGCGGAATGTAGGAGGTCCTGGCCGTCTTCGAGAAATGAGGAAAGCTGAAGCAATGACTACTCTACAGATGACACCTTGAAGAACAATTCTTTTTTACGCTTGGAAAGAGCATCTTTTCATTTCCCTCTGTTTTCATGCGCCCTTGTAGCTTTCGTTTTAATAATAAAGATGATACTTCTTTTTTTGTAGTTTTTTGAATTAAGTCCTCCGGCCTTCTCCCTTCTTTCTGTCTCTAGGTCAAACTCATCTTGTCTTATGATTTTACCTTTCCTAATATCTACGTCTCTGTCTTTGCGGCCTGCTTTCTCCGATTCCTCCATTCAACCCTCCTAGATGCCTCCCCACCCCCATCATCTCCTCACATTGTACGTGTGCATTAATGGGAGAGAAAGCAAAAATGAGAGGCCACCCATTACAGTTCCTTCCACAATGCCCAGAAGGATCTGTGTTTGAGGCATGTTTTAAAGATCATTGTAATTCAGGAAACAGCAAGGTGGAGTGAAGGGAAATTGGAAAGAACTCTCAGCTTATGAATGTATAATGCAAGAACACGGGCCCTCGCTCCAGTGTAATCTTGCCAACAGTTACTAGACCAAGTTCCTTGAACAAAAAGTCATTATTATGACTAACTATTCTGTATTTATAGAGAAGTAGTGTTAGAAGACAAACAGTTCAAGCAGTGTTCTTGCGCTAGATGTTCTTTGCTTTTTCCTGTATGTGGTCTTTTATTCCAGTGTTAATTGTGGTTATAAATCATTCCCAACCTGCTTTGGAATGAGTTTACACAGACTTCGTGCTGTTGAAAACACAGTACATTTGTACGTACAAGATATAAAGCATTCAGCAACTCCAGGGGTAAAAATGCCATCTATCAGGAAACAAACCCACAGAAGATTTAAAAAGTAATGATCATCAAAATATTTCTCTGCCTGTTGCCACAAATGACTACAGTTACTTCTGCACCACAAAGAGGACACTGGAGTGGGCAAAGTGGTCATCAACAGCTGTCTTTGAGAGGCACTCATGACAGGAAAGGTTGTCTTTTCACAAAGGACGATATCTGGAGACAAAAGAGTCTTCTTAAGACTGAGCAATGAACAGGATTGGGAAGGAACGTGAACACTTAACCCCTGTCTGTGACCATCCAGGTCAGAAAGGATGAGGCCAAAGAGGCTTGAAAGGAAGAAGAATGGCTTATATTTCTTTTTTTGCTGTGTTGGAATATATCAGCTCCCAGAGGGTGAATGTTATTTGAACCACCCGGGGTGCGCATTCCTCTGAGAGCCAGGGAACGTGGAGCCTCGGCAGGCAGGCTGGATGCCAGGCTGGGACAGAGAGACCCTCTCACAGCCTTCGTACGTTTCTGTCAGCTCTAGCAAGATGGGGGGGATTAAAAAAAAAAAAAAAGAAGAGCTTGTTAAGCCTCATACAGGTTTCAGATCAAATTTTTATCCTGTTTCACTTTGGAAGTCTCTTGAACAAGCTCAGAGCTTCAAAGCTGAGGCTGCAAATCTCTCAGGGAAGGTTCCTGTGTTTAATAAGCTGTTTTGACTGGAATTCAAAGAGAAAGTAAAGATTTCTGTTGGCCTAGCTGTAGAAAATGTGACCCAGACCTGTAACCTCATATCTGACCAGACAAAAATGTGTACTCTGTTAAAAACTGGAGATTTCTCAGAAATATTGGCATTAGAATAGCTCTGGTTCCCCTGGAGTCACTAGCAAAAAGTCTCATCATCTCTAATGGAAATACCTGTGACTAATTTTATTTGTAAAGAAGGTGCTGGAAGGTGATGCCAGAACACCGACATAACAAACCTGTAAGTTACATAGTGGCTCAGCTACTGGGCAAAAAAGCTTCCAGTTTACTCTTTTTAACCATTCCAACACAAAATTAACCCTTGAAGGGCTTTGTATCCTAAGATACGAATGCTGACAAGAAAGGAAGCACAGAGCAACTGAAATACTATGACATGATGCAATGCTTATAATTAACTTACAATAAGACAAAGCCATGACTCATGCGATTCAGACTCTCCTGAATGACCCAAGTGAAATTCTGGTGGTTTATGAGGACCCTGTCAAGGTTCCCTGGTGCTTCATCTCCAAGGCCTTCAACCATGAGGCTGTGCCTCACCCCTGTTAACTGCACCAGAACTCCTAGAAACGGGGCATCTGTCCTTCCTACCACCACTGCAGTGATACAGGTACTCATACCACTTCCCTTGGTGTCCACACTTTACATCCTAGGGCACACAGATACAAAAATAAATGCTGCATAAAGACAGTGAATGTCTCCAGAGGATTTCACTAAATTAAAAATGAAATCTAACCTAGGAGAGACCCTTTCACTCTGACAGGTCTTGTTTTCTTTACGTTTTGTTTCTCTTCCTCTAACACAAATATAATCCATCATCTGCCCAAATTCAAACCTGATGTAGACTTTCAAAAACTGCTTCCAGCTAACTGTGGTTCTCAAATGGCAGTCCGTCCTTTCCTATATATTCTTGTTAATGTCTCTGTTCACCAAACTTTCCCTCACAATTAAATTCCCATATTTGAAAGTTAAAGTGACAGAAGTCAACAGCCCTGACTGAAGAAAGCGTTAGTCCTCACATTTCTCCTAGCATGAATAAGAACACATGTGGCCTTTGCAGTCTAGAAGGTCCAGTGTAAAAGTTTCCAAAATCCACCTGTTTTGATTAGCATGGTTTGCATGCAGCAGGCCAGACACAGTAAAATATAGGGGTTTCATTTCCTCTTTGATTTCAGCACTTCTTTTCCACTAACTGCCCTATTTCCTGATCCGCCTTCATAAAAGTTAGCTAAATGAAAACACTCCTGGAAGTCTACAAATCAGTAGATAAAATAACTGAGGTTGATCAGTTTGCTAAGATCAGAAGGACTAGTTGCAATTTTCAAAGGACTGGACAGCATACATGCTTATTTTTACAGCAAATTGATCAGTTATCCCAGAATTTCAAAATTCCTCATTAAAAAAACAATTCTTAAAATTTTCCAGTAGGTATTACTACTAGTGCTGGTTAGAAAATACATTTTTCCCACCTTGGAATTTAATGTTTTGCCCGTTACCTCTCCCAATCTCTATCCTTATCTCGAATTCCTCAAGCCCCACGTTGGGCGCCAAAAAGGACTGTCGTGGTTTTAGGTTGATCCGGCAACTAAACTCCATGCAGCCGGTCTCCCACTCCAGTAAAATGGAGAGGAGAAAAATATGATAAAAGAGCTGAGGGTCAAGACAAGAACAGAGGAAGCACCCACCAACCACGGTCCCGGGCAAAACAGACTCAGCTCTCTTAAAGCAAACAATTTATTAACAGTTACTTAAAAGAATAAAGACAAGCAAAACCAGTTACTTAAAAGGATTAAAAGAAAACAAGGCCAGATCTTAAAATCAACACCTCTCCACCACCCTTTGCCTTTTCTTCCCTAGTTCCTTAGTCTGTAGACAGGCAAAATTCTCTATTGTATGCTCCTGTCTTCTATGGTTTGGGCTTTTTTTCTTGTCAAAGACCAGTCCTATTTCAAAAAAGATTTTGATAAAAGCCATCAGACAATTAGCTACATACAATAACAGATAAAAAACTCACTTTATCATTAGGATAAGTGAGATACAGAAAAAAGTAGTGGTTACAGCAGCAATTCCCCTGAGCAGCTGTCAATGCTCAGTTTGGTCCTGATCTCTTGATTCTTGGTTTGGCATCAAAATAAATATTATGGCCAGTGGAATTTACTTTAATTTAGTTTGGAAATTTTCTCTCCATTCCTTCATAACATGACATTATCAAAAGTAAGCGAACCAAAGGGATATAGTCTAAATCTTCCTTAAATTTGAGTAACACAGGAGCAGATTATATCCAAGTTAAACACAGTATAAAATGAAGTAAGTGGAATCAGAATCCAGGAAAAGAGGCAAAAGCAGAAAAACTACTAACACAAGAAATTTTTCATAGGATTGTTTGTTGCTTGTATTGGAGATTGGGGAAGATCAAGGTGCTAACACAATGGCAACGCTCTGCTGGGGCAGCGATTCTTTCCCGGAGAGTTTGCTCAGTGCCTGGAACAAGGAAGTTCCAGTCTCAGCTGAAGTCTATAGTCATTAAAGCAATACTAGTGCTAACAGTTGTGTACCACCCTCAAGATAAGGGCTCACTGTCTAAGTGAAGAATTCAAAGCATGGGAGGAAACAACTTTTATACCATTGATAGGAGGAAGACCGAGGTCCAGAAATCTGAACAAGGTCACATACTGCCAGGAACTGAATCAAGGTTTCCTCAGTCCCCATCTAATGCTTCAAAGGGAGGGCCATCTATCTTCTCTCTCAAGGACAGAATCGTAAGCATGAAAGGCATGCTTTTGATGCACTGACAAATCACCTGCCATCAGACAGATGTTTATCTCATAAAAACATTACTTCTTTCATAAAAGTAGGTTTCCTGATTAAATAATAGGACTAAAACATATCTTAGCTTGCATTGAATAATGACTATATGAAATGTAGAGCTCGCATCCTGTAAAAAAATGTAGCTGAAATTCAGAAGCCTGGGCTTCAGTGATACAATAACTAAAGGACAACTGCACGACAATTGTTTCTGCAGTGTCAGACATGCTTAAATATAGATAAGAACGTAGAGTAAAGAATTTTACTACTTACCAGCACATTGGTTGTTTTCATCCAACTGGTAACCAAATCGACAGATCAAAGGTCTTGTAACAGTAGGGTAGTTAGGAACGGGGCCTGGTGCTGGGAGTGGTGGATAAATATTTGAATAAGGATTCAAATATGGTGACCGATACACTGGGTTTGTTCGGGGTACGCATAAATAGCCACCATTCTGATTGACACACACCATGTCTCCTCTGCAGGCCTCGGGAATAGTCCGACATTCATCAATATCTGGAAGGAAATTGCAAAAGTTAAATGAGTGATTGCTTCTCAGTGAGATCTATCCATAAAACAGTTAACATGTTTTTCTCAAGACTTTGCTAAAAATCTGATACTCTCTTTGACAGAAAAGCTAGTCCTTCCTTGTGGAGCCTCACTTTGAAGTCGGATCACACTGTAACAGGAAACATCCCATATATTCAACATATCCTGTGTTCTACTTGTTTCACTTCACTATTAGAGGGTAGAGGGAGAGGGGTAAGTCTGCTTTGTTATTCTATAAATGTTCAGTTTAAACACTGATTTACACATGGCTACAGCATGCTACTGCCAGTTCCTGACGCAGGGTCTGTCCAAACCACAACATGCAGATCAGGATTTCAAACGCTGGTGGTTTGGTTTGCCCAGCTGTGAAACTTGGATCCCGATTTGGGTATTCCCGAGCTCCCTTCCACAGAAAAAATTAGGGATGTTCAGATCTGGGGATGTGGTTCAGGCCTCTTTCTTGCTCTGATTGAGATCATTGCTGAATTAATTTTAAAAAGATACAAATGGTTTAGCTGAATCGAGCATTCGCTTGGTTCTTGGAGCCCAGAAATAATAGGTTGCTACGATAGGGAAAGCTGGTTTTTCCCTTACTGTTTGAGTGACTTTAACACGTGCAAAAGATGCGGCCCTGGAGACTGAATGTCATTTGTTAAAAAGATTCTATAGGGCTTCTATAGGAGCACCTCTCCTATGAAGACAGGCTGAGAGAGTTGGGGCTGTTCAGCCTGGAGAAGAGGAGGCTCCGGGAAGACCTTTTAGCAGCCTTCCAGTACTTAAAGGGGGCCTACAGGAAAGCTGGAGAGAGACTTTTTACTGAGGGCATGTAGTGATAAAACAAGGGGTAATGGCTTTAAACTGAAAAGATTAGATAGGGTAGATTTAGATTAGATATAAGGAAGAAATTTTTCACTCTGAGGGTGGTGAGGCACTAGAACAGGTTGCCCAGAGGATTTGTGGGTGCCCCATCCCTGGAAGTGTTCAAGGCCAGGCTGGATGAGGCTTTGAGCAACCTGGTGTAGTGGAGGGTGTCCCTGCCCATGGCAGGGGGGTTAGAACTAGATGATCTTTGAGGTCCCCTCCAACCCTAACCATTCTATGATTCTATGATTCTAAGTGTGTGTTTCCCTATATTGTTTCAACAATTTACTTGGAGTGTCAATGCTGAGCAGTGATAGCCTTTATCTGAGCCTCCAAGTGGAGGCTGCCAGCAAAGGCAGTAAATAGTCTGGAGGAGAAAGAGAAGGAGGGTAAACAAGCCTTGTCAGTTGGCAACTAGGCTGAGCTCCCAAACTCATCTCAATACATCACAGCTATTTGAGAAGCACTGACAGCCAATTAGTATATCAACAATGTCAAACATTGGTATACACTTATACTATGTAAACACACACGTATTTATATATATACATATATATTTTTGTATATACACATGCACAAACACACATTTGTCACACAGCAGGAACTTTTCAACTGAAATGTACCAACAGCAGCACAATGTTAACTCGATGACGTCAGGATTTCTGAACCCCAATGTATTGATTTAATTAAAGTCCTACCTAAGCATTGCCCAGAGGCACGGTCCAGGTCAAACCCGTTAGTGCATTGTTGCTAAAATGAGAAAACAAAGGACACTCAGTGACTGAAATGAGAGGGTTGCAGAGTCAAATGCTCATCTGGATTATTATGCTTATCACAATTGTTCAGCACTACACAGTACACCAAAATAAAGTCTCTTCCCCAAAGGACAGTCAGCAAGGCATGAACCTGAGGCCTCAGAACCTGTGCCAGCCCCTTAACTCAGAAGGTAGTTCCCTCAGGTGGTGACAGTGTCAGGCTGTTCATCTCCCTGAGGGTAACCAACACGTACTGTGCGATGGGCTCCATGCCAGTTGTTAACTCAGAAGTTACATTCCTCTGTTTTGGAGTCTTGTTTTTTGTCAGAACAGAAGGGTTCAGTTAAAAGGTACTAGCTAACTGCTCTATCAGGCTCTAAAACTCCACACATAGACCATTCAGTACATATGTCTCAACACGTTAGCCATCTGATTGAACTGAAGCCACAGTTATAACAAGCTTAATAAAAGTAAGGTTTTCGTTTACACCAGCCTTCTGATTTTTAGAGCATAAGTTTTTACATGAACATGTTCTAGGCATGCAAGGTTACTGGAAGATGCTCCTTCCTAACTTGTGGTTCTGGTCTTTATCAGGGCTGCAACCCTGAGTCTTCAGCACCTCATCAGTGACTCTCAGCGTTTCTAAACCAGTGAGAGTCCTGGTCATGACATGTGAAAGCCCATTAAAACGATTCCCTTCTCTCCCTGGTATTTGACTGGGCCTCCACCTATTTAGCAGCAGTTGACACAAGCACAGGATCCTGCCAGCAAACAGGTTATACTATGGAATGTAAGCAAGAGATATTTAGAAAACAGGAACCACTGTCCAGAGGAACCGAGTGTGTTAATGATTCTTCCTTTTTTGTTGTTGTTAAATGATAAAGACACTTCCACTTTTGTGAAAGAAATCAGTGGAAGAGTAGAGTACTTGGTTCATGTTTGGAAAAGTAGAAAGTTGTAGATGAGAGAAAAGGGGTGAGATGGATAAGTCAGTGGAAGTTGACCATTGCAGGAACTAGGGAGGGGACATGCAGTGAAACACATGGCACTGTTTGGACTGCACCTGCCACTTGCACGTATGAATACACAAAACCACTGCTAGAAGTGTCAAACAACTATGAAGGAATTCTGCCTTCATTATTTTGGCATTCTAAGATATTTTGGTATCATGTTGTGGAAAGCCAAGATATTCTGATAGGAGAATGTATAATCAGCCTTATGTTTTAGAGAATATATGTACTCTACCTTTTGCTCTCTTTTCTGTGCTGTGGTGTGTACACTACGCTTAGGTTAGCAGGAAAGGTCAAGGTAGTTTTTGACAAAATTATTTTCTTTTGGACAGCAAATGATGATTCAGAAGCACTGAAACTACCGCAGAACTGGTTTCAACAACTTTCTAGAACTTTATGCTAGAAAAGACTCCAATATTGCCAAAATGACCTGTTGCAATATCTTCAGAAAGAAGTCCTTGCCATCATTTTCGTTTCAAGTTGCTTTTTGCTTAGACTTCAAAAATCAATTTATGGTCCAAGATGTTTTTATAAAAATCACAATGGAAACAATATTTTTTAAATTATAAAAACAAACCCTTAAAGACATCTCAAAAATTCTCCAGGGCCATGAAAAGCATTTCCCATACAGATCCAATGTTCACAAAAATATCAATAAGCATGCCATGCGCAGGAAATTTTCAATGTAATAGAAAAAAACCAACTACGTTTCAGAGCCTTTTGGCAAAAGTGTTTAGAAACACAGCTCTGGACACTGAGTGTATCTGGATTATCAAGTAGGAATCCAAACTTAATGTGCCTTTGGGAACTGTTTTTCCTAATTTAAAATCCACATGGAGTCCAAGAACACAAAGAACTAATGCTTCTGCTATTTTGAGAACTGGACTGCTTTACTTCCATCCACCCTCAAAAGTCTTGCCTCTTGAACAAAAATGGTTTCAGGCATAAATTAAAATGAAAACTAGGATGCAGTCATTCAGGATCACAATCCAAAATTAAACAGTCTTAAGACGAGATCCTGCTAAACACAGAAAATACCTATTTAAACGAACACGTTTTCCAAGCATGGATGTTCCCCACCACAGAAGTGATCTGTCCCGGCTCTTGGGGGATGGCTTTTCTTATTTCCTTTTCCAGAAGTGTTCACTTCAGAGGCAGAACCAGGTTTTCATTGAGGTCCAGTTTCTACAGGGATATTTTGCTGAGCTGGCAAGGATGAGTCAATAAGCTCAGTCCATGTTCAACTCCAGAATCCTGCTGGCTCCAAGTTCTCCCCTCTAAACCCTTAGACCACACAGCTTCCTCTTCATGTAAACCTCAGACCACAGAGCTTCCTATTCACCTGCTAGCCAGTGAAGTCTCATGCCATATAGCGCTGCGGTACAAAACAGTACATAGATGTCCATGTGCACTTCTCACCTGTGCTTTTCCAGGGCTTGAAAGGCAGATGGCCAGTGTGAAAGCAGTCAGTATCCTGTAATGTGCATAGAAAATAGGCTGAAAACCTTCTGATATCCAGGCTCATCATATAGAAATAAACTTCTAGTGACACTTCAGTGTATTCCACAGAGTTTTGCTAACATGAATTTGGCCTGTGGAGAAGGAGTAATACAACTGTGGGCCAGATTCAGATCTCAGAGTCACTAACTTTACCACGGTTTTATGCGACTGGGATCAGAATCAGACTGTACGTGTCCATTAACTAATCTGTATTTTACGACGCCCCATGCAGCAGCTGTTTAGTGAACAAGTGGGCAATATTCAATAGACAATTTTCGCCCTTCTCTGACAACTTTCTTTTGAGAATATAAAACTTTTTCTTGCACATTATGCACATTTTACAGATGGGCAAACGAGAGCGCAGGCCCTGCCTAAGCGCACAGTGCAACGCATTGGCGGGGCTGCAGACGTGTCGTGCAGGAGGTCCTGAATCCAAGCCAGTTGCTCTAACCGCTAAACCGCATTTCATCCCCAGGAGACTGTATCTGAGATTAATCCGTTTCCTTAGGGCCAGATTCTGTCCTTTTACTCAGTCTTGAGTAATACATTTCTCTGCAAGTAGACGCACTTTGCCAGGTCATCAGCTCCTAGAAGCTGCTATCTTCCATGGAGCCTTCCCCAGTTAGATTATCTTGGCATCTAGTGGGACCTACTGGGTCTCTTCACTGCAACTAAAAGAAGGTCCCTCCCTAACAGAGCGCTATGGCTGTATTTGGAACTCCTTACCTGAAGCATAAAAATTCCAATCAACTAAGCTCCCACCTCCAGGTATTTACTATCAGACTGGAAACCAGGAAAGGACAGTAAGAGATTATTTTTTTCTACATACTGTGGATTTCAGTGTTTGCCACTGCCTTATGTAAAACTTCTTCTTAATACAATTAGACACAAATCTTGCTTATCTTGGATTCTAGTTCTGAATGGCAATTGTATACTATACATTCCCACAAAACCAGTACAGGAAGCAAAGGATATTTTAGGTAGCCTTAGTTCTGCTACCCAAGCAAGCTGCCAACTTTCTTTTTTAGAGCTGTCTCTGATTTCCAGTGCAAACTGAGCTGCTGAACAAGACCTACAAATGCATCAGAAAAAACCACACACAAACAGTGACCGGCACATTTGGACAATTTTTTTTAAATGAGGAGGCAGGCACAAGCTCTGAAAAGTAAACATAAACTCTAAAATGGTTCTTCGTAGTGCTGCGGAGACAGATTGTGCTTGTTGGCAGCTTTTGAGTGACAAGGAAAGGCAAATTCTGCACAGACTTTTCCTTAGAGTCAGATGCAGGGCATTCAAAATGCAACGTTATGCATTTAGGCTTGCACTTCGTTTATTGATTCCTCAAATCTTTTTGAAGAGCTTTTAAAGCAGGGGATGAAGACTGCGTACTCACTTTGCATAGAGCAAGAGTAGCACTAGAAGGAAATACAACAGGTTATAGCTGAACATTAACATACCCAGCAACTGGGCTACGCTCTGCATGGTTGCAGAGCAGTGCACGCTGACAACAGCCCCTATAAAACTGGTCAGACAAAACTCATACATTTCTGGACGGTCTTTAGTTCCCGTTGTTACAAGATGATATACGCTTTCCTCTTGGTGGGGGGGTGACCTTACAGCCTCTTACTTGCTCTGCCTGCAACCACCATCTCAATCCGCTCGTTACTTTAGAACTCAAATCCCCTCAAGAATTACCAACAGACATACAGCACAAACTATCAACGCTATATTCAGCTGGTCACAGTAGCTTGCCCAGCAGGCAAAATATTTTAAACTAGTAATTAACTTCTGCAATAGTAACTAATTAGCTTCAAATCAGTCACTGTAGCTTGTGGGATCGTTTGCTGTCACAGTTCAGCACTCCCACAGATGCTGGGGTTCCTAAAGTGCAGAGTATAAGCACAGATCAAGAAGGAACTTGTCAGAGACAGCACGGCTTTAATAACAGACCGATCGTCTTTCCCCACCTCTGACCACTGAGATCCCATTCCTTTGTAAAAGCTTCAGCAAGTGGATTGGCATACCGAATCCCTGTCACAGATACTTTCCACAAGTAGATTTCCCTTCAGTAAGCAGAGAAGTTTCGTGCACACCACTTACCTTTTTAATCCTTGCATGTCCAAAACCGTTGGGGAAAGGTGGAAAAAATACAGAGTCTGTGCTGATGAATAACTAGATAGTTTTTCCAAACATCACCCTCCGCTAGCACTTCAGTTCCTCAGTCATTTATAGTCCAAAGAATGAAATAGCAAGTAATGGAGAAGATCGGGAGCCGTCTGTACCTCCTCAGACACTGGAGAGAATACAGAGAAAGCACCTGGTTTTGCTTAGTTCTCTTCTGTAATTCAGCATTAAACCAATTGGAGGAGGAATGTTAAAAATGAACACTTCATTTTCTAAGTATGTTAAACAATGCAAATGGGGGCCTCAGCCTGGGACAGCTGGTTTAGATTACAAAGCTCACCAACTGGCTAGACTCCTCACAACAACCTCGAGGAGCCTGCCAGGATAAAACACTAACAGCTTGAAGGAAAGCCTCTCCCGCTGCAAACTTCACAGTTAAATGTGCCTCAGAGCAGAGAGCACCGTTATTGGACAGAAACCCTTATCAAGGGACTGGAGAAGGGAAGGGATTGTTTTCCTTGCTCTGAGAACAAAAAAAAAAAAAAAAAAAAAAAAAAAAAAGCCAGGCTTTTTGGAGGCCCTTTAGCCAGTGCAGTGTCTTGGACGATGAATATGCAACACTTGCTGCTTCGTGCCAATGGCATGCTGATGAAAGGTCTGACCCTCTGGGAGGTGAATAAATCAAATTCATGACGATCGCAGCTACAGCAACTATATTGCTTGGGGATTATCTGAAAACAGGAATAAACAAATTAAACGTTCGAAGGAAAACAAATGGCTTGTCTACAAACACTGGCCCTTTTTAAACTGACCCCACACTTAAGGGAGTGGTTTGTGAAATTAAATATTTCTCAGGAAAGACATATCTTGCAGATCTCCAGCTATGATTGAAGAGGAAGGAAATAAAGTACTTTTTCAGGTGTTTTGCAACTTTGCCACAGGCAGAGCTTTACTAGGTCAGGCAGAGCGTTTATGAGATGTGAGAGGTAAGCAATGGGATGCTGCAAAGATTATGCTAGATCCAAAGATGAACACTGAAATTAAATACAGACATAGACATAAAATGAATACTTTGAATGTCTGTGGAGTCTTCCATCAGAGGAAACCCTTTATTCCTAAGGAACGTGAAATGTCTGACAAGGTAAAACCTATCTTACATCTCTCTGTAACGGATTGAGAAGCAGAGAAATAAGAGTTGTTATAACAGATGTTCATAAAACTGGCCTCTAAGCATGGATACCCAGCTTCAGATACAAAGATTGCGCTGTTTGAAGGTTGCTGAGCACCCACAAGTCATATTGGCGCCAATGGGAAGTGCAAGAGCTCTGCACCTCACTAACTGGCTGTAATTGTCCAAATTACTTTTCAAAAACGACAGCACCAGAAGCTCAGTGCTACTTCTGACAGTTTGTCTCTTGGTGACTTGCTTACATTACTTGCCATCACGTGGAAAATGAAACACTGTCCTAGAATTATTCAAGCAGCGTCAATATGTTTGCAGATAAACAAGAACCAACTTATTTTAAATAGACTTCCTAAAAGCTTAACAAAAAGCTCAAGAGAGCTCTGAAGAATCTCGCCGGTCATGTTGTGGAGAAAAGTTTTGTCATGGGAAAGAAAACAGGCAACAGAGAGAAAGCAAAGGTTGGGCAGATTTTCACTTTGGCAAAATGTTAACTGCAAGTACTCCATTACTCTATAAGCCCAGTGTTGCTCAGTACACTCGATGGTCTGGAGCGCTAACAAGCCTAAAAGTAGCAGTGCTTACTGTATGTTAGGTATCTACTAGAAGACCTCCTGAAACTATGAGGAACAGCTCTACAGTGAAGCAGATGCTCTGAGCATTTATATTTGCGGATGAAGAGCTTGCTTCCTATACTTGTTGATACTTCACTTGCTGATCCACTCAATTTTTCTCACCATCACATGGCAAAATTATTGTCTGCATGCCAGAATCACTGTATGAGCCCAGCACCAGTCTGCTCCCCAAGAATTGCCTCAGACTAAAGAGTTCTGACTCATCAGCCAACTGGCAGAGGTGCCCTGGCACTGGAGACAGAAGGCGAATCCAGACCTGACCACCTAAGGGGCTCCCTTAAGAAGGAATATTGTACAAATGTTTTGATTTTTCCTGTCTCCATGTGACAGCTGGAGTGGATAAAAAACAGAGTATAAAAAGTGTACCAAACCACAAGTTGGGCTAGTTTACAGTGTGGTAACTTCTTTTTCCTAAATAAAAGGATTCGATGTTATGGCTAAGTGGAATTTCTGCAGTACCTTTCTGTAACTACCATCAGTCACACAATAATCAGATGCAGCCCCGCCCTTCTCACAATTCTCTGTGATATGAAGAGTTGCATAAAGGAAGATGTCTGTGGGACATAAAAGCTCTTTTGTTCGCCCTATAAAAACATGGACAGTTCAACATATCTTTCAACACCATCTGCTGACACCTTCACCATTTATGCTTACGATGGTGGCTAAACTTCAGGTCTAGCAGCACTCTCACTTCAGTGGTCTCGACTGTCTTCCCTTGTTATAAAATCCACTGGTTTATTTAGATTACCTTGATGTTTTCTTTGACTTCATGAGGAGGTGCAGAACAGTCCACAGTAGAAAATGGGGCTGGCTCTGTTAAGTAACTAAGTATGTTCTTACAAGTTTGCTTTGTGCATAGCTAGGGTTGAAACTTCAGCTCTAATTATGTTTAAGATTTGGGTTTTGAAAATTGTGTAATATTTAATCATAAAGGGCACATAAACTATGTTGTGTAACCTTAACTCTGCCCTCCTTGGATGAGATGACTGAATGTATGAGTCACGCCATGCTCCTGCAGGTAGTGCACAGCACTGGGTTAGCAGGGGCCCTCAGCACTGGAGAACATAATCTAATGGCTTCTGAATGCTAAGAAATAAGCTGTATTTAGGTCAGGGAACTCAACAAGAGTTAACTACACTCAGCACTCCTGAACAAAAAGTCTGCTCCACAAAAACAAGTCCTCATCTATTAACTTTTACACCACTTCATCTCCTTTTTTAATTCTGAAATTATACTTGCGCTTCTCCAAAACTGTATCTGCCAAAGACCCTTCTTAGATGTTCCTGTCATTTTTTAAAGTTGACCTTCTCTGAACATCCTCAAAGACAGCATTGTTGAACTGCAGGAGCAGAGTCAAATCACACAGATCTGTATGGCAGTAGGTGTGCGAGCCCAAAGTCATTGAATGTGGCAAGTCTTACACATCTTTTACACAGCATACAGACCTGAATTCACTAAAGGACTTTGCCAATAACTGATACTTTAAGGCAGTCCAAGCTTTAGATGCTGAAAACATCCATTTTGCTCCTACCAAACTTTATGGAACCAAATTTTTTACCGGTAAAACTCATAAAACACTTGGAGTAAAACCGCTGGGCTTTTGCGGAAACAATTGCACTCTGATAGCACCTAAGCTCCATGAGATCCACAGGTTGAGCTTTCGCCTGACTGTGGAGACTAAGTGTTCTTGGAGATTGCCAAATAAGCAAGCTTTTGATATTGTCACATGTTGATGTAACACATGATAGGCAGCAATTTGAACTACACCAATCTCACCCTACTGGCACATGAATAGCACTAAGCACACAGGAAACTTGGTCTCAAACCCTGATTCTGCCTGAAAAAGAGTAAGGTTTGTTTCTTCCACCTCCCAGGAAAGAATCTCAGTCGCAAACTCTTGGTGTTTGGGAAAGATTCCCTTTCCTTTATCCAAGATGGATTACCTTACATTATCTGCTGAGGTCTGCTTCATTCAGTGTCTGAATTGTAATCACCATCTCATAACATGAACAATGCAATAACCTGTTCCAGATGGCTCCGGCCAGAAGCTCAAAAGCACAGTCCCACACATATTTTCCTTTCCTAGCCAAACATAACACAAGCGAGAATTAATAGTGAAAATTAACATAATATGTAAATGTAAAAACATCACTAGGGCTAACTAAAATGTACTGGAAAAGTAGAGTCTCTGAGATTGTGTTGATCTGCAGCTCACGCTACTGTTGTGAGGAAGGAGGAAGTCTCACAGTTCCTGTTGTGCTGCTGTCTCTTGGGGCTCAGTTGCCTCAACATGGTACAGTTACCCCCGTGTGAGATATCCGTGGAAAAAAGAGCCAGTACAGCACCCCTTCCTTCCCTCCTGCATGGGGATGTCACCCATTGGTCTGAAGCATGCGTTCCTTTGGGATGACAACATCACTGACAATATCCCTCTTTCCCAAGAACAATAAGCAGAGTGCCATTGTAATGTTGTAGCAGATGTTCTCAGAGTACCCTACCAGATGGATCACGTAATTGAAAGTTTTTGTTTTACTTTATCTAACTCTACCACTTATAGATGTTACTACCTTTACAGGTCTGTGGTCATTCTCATACTGGTTTCTAACAGCACAATTTCTTTCAGGAAAAAAAGGTATCAGTGGAAACCCCAGGCATCACCGGATCCATTCTGACATACAACAACGCTAAACATGGACTAGTATCTGACTGCACTTTGTTGCTTCGAAAACATATTAATCTTCTCATTAAATGAGGAATAGTAGGATCTAGCAGGTACATACTGAAACGCAAAAAGCTTAAACTTATACCCGATGAACTGTAACTGCTGTAAGACAAAACTATTTCAGGTATATTACCTTTAGTGACATCAAGTTTGATGTTCATGATCGCCTGTTTAGCTGTAGTGTTTCCTAGGAAGCTCTAGGAAGGCTGCCTGAGGCAAAAAAGAGTAACATTCCTGGAAGAATGCTTCAGGATTGTTCAAGGTTTTTTCTCCTCCAACAAAAGTAAGGTAAGCAAGCAAACTAAAAGCTTTTTATAACTTTCACAGAAAGAAAAATACAGAATCTGTCACATTTTTGGTGCATTCAACAACTCTTAGCAGGTCCCTTCATATTACTATGAATTTGCAAGAGTATACAACATTCTTCTTCATTTTTAAATCCTTAAATGACCAGCATTTATGCTTTTAAAACTTTTTTCCTGTAAAGAGTGTATAATGAACATCATCTTGGACCTAAAGACAAAGATCTCCTCCAGAGCTCACACATCTCCCTTGAGTTGTTTTGAGCATCTGAGAACATGAGGCCTCAGCCACTGTTATTACTTTTACTTTTTTTTTCTGTTGAATCTCATCCTTGAGCATGGCTCTGGTAACTGCAATTCACATTTTGCCTGAAACTAGACAGATATTTTAGTTTGTTTGTGTTTATCTTATAAGATTAACACATACATAAGCTTGGCTGCGGTCTTTTCTCCTCTGTGTTTTTCTCAAATGGTCTAGACAGTGTGGTTGAAAACAATGCTCTTTAATCTTGTGACAAGATGTTTACCAGCCCCCTTTAATAACAAGCGTAAATCCTTTATGGCCGGTTTCAGCTAAGAAT